TTATACATCTCATGTTTGGCAGGTAAATAAGGCATTGCATGGTCTTAAGCAAGCACCTCGCGAATGGTTCTCCACATTCATTGATCATCTCTTATGTTGGGATTTTCATTCAAGTGTTGTTGATTCCTCTCTATTCATTTACAAACATCAAGATATCTACATTTACCTAATTATCTATTTTGATGACATTCTAGTAGCTGGAAATAATTCAAGTCACATTTTTTCTCATTTCAATGAACTGATACAAAATTCCGGCTCAAACTACTTTGATAACCTTCTCAATTACATGGCATCATCCTATATCCAAATCATATTAGTTCTATATTACATCAAACACCTTATGTTGAATCTATTCAATGGAAGGAAGGCATGGCTAAATGCAAACCATTAGCTACACCATTTACACTTAAATCTACTACTCTACTGGATGCCTCTGACCAACTTACTGATCCTAAGTTCTACCAAATGTTAGTTGGATCACTTCAATACTTGATAATCATTGCAGTAAACAAATTATGTCAATTTATGCATTCACCTAAATAGCTTCATTTCCTTATGCTCAAGTGCACTCTATGCTATATTCAGGGCATTGTAGTCTTCGATTTACCTATACAGCAAGAAAACCTTTAGCTCTTTTCATTTGCAAAGCCGCATTAGGAAAGTGATTCAAGTGATCAAAAGTCCACCTTCGGCTATTATATTTTCATTGAAAATACACTCTTCTCATGCTCTGCTAAGAAGTAATCCACAATTTCCTGCTCCTCCATCAAAGTCGATTATCGGGCACTATCATCTTCTGCTATGGAAATCATATGGATTCATCGCTTGTTGCAAGACTTTCATGTCCCTGTTACTACACCTACATCTATCTATTGTGATAATATTTATGGAATTTCAGAGGAACCAAATCCATTTTTCCATGCTAGAACAAAATATATTGAGATTGATATATCCCCATTTTATTCATGAGTGTATCAAGTCCCAAACTATTGTAGTTCATCATATATCAACACATTGTTAACTAGCAGATATCTTTGCGAAGCCACTATCTGCATCAAAGTTTCGAACTCTTTGCTCCAAATTAACACTTCAAGATCGAATCGTTAATTTGAAGGGGGATTTTAAGGCTATTTAACCTGTGCCAGCTCAAACAGAGTTTATTCTCTGTTGCTCCACTACCTTTGCTAAAACTAACGGAATAAACTTTTCTACTATTAATATCATCCCTTGATGTATTCTCACTTGGTTGTATCTACACCGTTAAAATATATTATTACAATAGATATAAAAATAGAAACTGATGTACTGTTAAACGCAAGGAAAAATGAAGGATTATAGATGAGATTAATACAAGCTTTAGTCTTCTTCCATCCTCTCTATTCTCTACTAATATTTTACTTCTACTTAATATTTATTTCTACAGAATAATGTTTCATATAGTTTTACAATATCAAGCTTATGAATAAGCAGTACTATCGAGCAGCTTGTTAGTAATTAAACTGAATAAGCTTTATCAAGCATAGTAATGAGTAGGCTGTTTAGCTTAAAATATAAATTTAATTGAAATTATTTTAATGAGTATAAATAAGTAGCTAGCACTAATGAATAAAAGCAATCTAATAAAAAACATACTACTACATAATCACATATTAATAAATGTATAATTGAGGCTTAAATTATCATATTATGATTTCCTAAAATGAGCATATTATTGCACTATAATTTAGCTTTTTATCGGGTTTGTTCACAAACTTCAAATAATATTATTTATGATAATAAACGAATCAGGCACTATATTATTGAATTTTATTCATTGATCAATTGATTTTTATTTATGGCATTAAATGAATCAATTGGGTACTATGTTGTTGAATCTTATTTATTCATTGATCAATTGAATATTTATAAGAATCTTCAAATTTGTTCAATTGAATCAAAAATAAAATTTAATTGAAGTAATCTTATTAAGCATATTGATTCATTTGTCACTAACTACTTCTATAAATAATTATTATAACTATCATTGTATTCAGCATTACTATTATAAACCATACAAAATACTATTTTAAGTCCATTTTGGGACAGCGTTCTTATTCCTTTATAAAGCAGTTTTTGCTCCAAAAATTTTCCTAAACGACGAAGCTTTAAGTTTCATTTATGACATCTTTTTTATTGCTTTTACAAAAAAAACTTTTAAAAGAAATTTTATGGTACAAAATTTTATTATTTATAACATTTTTATACTAAAAAGTTATTTAAAAAGTCAATAATAAAATTGTCCCAAAAAAAATCTTAATTAGTTGTTTTACCGAACCCCCACATGGTCTTTAAGAGATTGTATTGCATTGTTATTAACTCAACCCACCAAGTACAAATCGCACGTTGTGAAAGCATGAATGGAATAAAGTATCGGAGAATAAAGAGAATTCCTTTTCATATGCCCATGTAAAATTAACATATATTGTCAAGTTATATACATACTCTAACACACTTTTAGTACTCTCATATTAATCATATTTCTCTTAAATTATAAATTATTTAAATCATGTATTAAATAGCATGATAATTTAGTTCTTATTTAGGATAAATTTCTTATTATTTTTTTAAAATAATTTTTTAGTATAAATATTTTTTGAACTATAAGCTTTTATATTAGAGATCTGGTTCACAAAGAAAAATAAAGTTATCTCAAACGAAATCTAGACGGCATTTTTATTTCTTTGTAAAATAATTTTTCAATTAAAAAATTTTGTACTAAAAAAATATTTTATAAAGTAATAAGAAAACAATCCCAAACGGAAAAATTACTATGAAAACTCTTTGTAGCGGATAAGGGGCAGAGCAGCTTTGAAATTGTTGATATTTTTTTATGATGATTAGAATAGTTGTAATAACCTTAAAAAAAAAAGAATGTAAATTTTTTTTTTAGCTAATTTTTATCACATATTTTATATTTTTTATATATCATTTTAATGTTTTAAGTCCAATTTTATAAATATTAACATATATTATCAATTTGACCTTTATGTTAATTCTTAACTATTTATATCATTTTTTACTGTGTCCTTTATATAACTTTATCAAACAAATAAACTTTATTCACATGCTCAGAACATAAAATGGCATAAGAAAGTCGTTCTCTTTAATAAAACAATCCCTTCAAACGGGGAAGGCATCTATCTATAACACAAAATTACTTTGACCAGTTAAATCACATTAGGTACACCATGCCAGCTAGCTTTGAATTTTCCTAGGCGAATTTTTTTTTTTAATGACGATAAATCGTCCGCTGCCAAACCCGATTTCGTCGAGCACACTTGGCGGTCCGTAAACCCCGGCGACCTAATGGGCCACCCAAGCCACAAATCCATAGTCGGCGCTTTGAAAACCCCACTTAAGGGTCGACTGCCGCTCAAGGGAATCGAACTCAGGATGGGGGGTTCCCAACCGAGCACGTCCACCAACCGAGCTAAGCATCGGTGGGTTCCTCTATCCAAAAATAAAAAATAAAACGGTCAAATTAAAATTTAATTTTAATAATTTTAAAAATTATCAAATTTCTCTTGATATGGATATAATATAATTTTTTTATGAATTATATATTATTCTCTGACATAATTGGAAGGGGTGTCAATTTTTGACACGACCCGAAACCCAACCCGGACCCGACCCAAAAAATTCCGGGTTCGGGTCAACCCGTTTGCGAAATAGGCCAGGTTCGAGTTCAGATTTTTAACCCGTTTGAAAAATGGGTAGGGTTCGGGTTGTCCCGACAACCCGCGGGTCGACCCGATTGACCCGAAAATTTGATTAGTCGCATCATGATAGCGATGTGTCGTTGTTGAGTCCGTTAGGCATCATGCGACACAGTGTCACAGGCCATCGCGTCTAGCAGAAGGCAGAAGCAACGTCGCGCGACTCGCGCTAACTCGCACAGTTGCCGTCGCGTCACGATGACTCAACGTCTCTGTCACTTCGCCTCGCTCCTCTACCACGGCTTTGCCAGTCCGCCGTGCTGCTGCTCCGCCCAGATCGTGTTAGGGTTCATCGGTTCGACCCAACGCAGCCATGCAGGCCGCACCACCTCAACCAGATAGACGGCCTAGCCAAGTCGTCCAGCTCCAGTGTCCGCATCTGTGAGTCGCGACTAAGCGACTATGTCCGCGTGTTCTCGAGTCGGGTCAACCCGTTAAACTGCGCGGGTCGTGTCTGGGTTAAAAATCGTAACCCGTTTAGCTAAACGGATGGGGTTCGGATCAACCCGTTTATGCTCGGGTCAACTCAGATTTTACCCGAACCCGACCCGTTGACCCAAATTGACACCCCTAATAATTGGAACTGTGAGGAGAAGATATATAGTTATGGCATCTTCAACCGAAAAATAAAAATCATTTTTCACTCCAAAATGTAATTATTCTTCTTCAATAAAACGTCATTTCTTATTCTTTCTTGCACTTCCTGTGAGCTAACCATCTTTGACGCATTTTTCTCTTCTTTCAAGAACTTCTTTGGCAAATCCCGCAACCAATTTTTTGGTGGAGGTGAACAATTCGACGTCAATAATGATGCCGCACTATTCACCTACCGAAATTTAGCTTGAGTTCGAATGAAGCAAATGGCTGAGGCATACAATGATATGGAGTTCGCTTGGAGATGGTCTTAGCATGACTTCTCTGCTTAGAAATGAAGTTGGATGGGAGATGAAAAACTGTTTGATATATACCTTTTTAAATTTTGAAGTGAAAAATTAAATTTTTGGTTAGAGATGCCTTTAGATCCCATCAAAACTCCAAAATTTTTTGCTCAGTTTATATTTATATTACTCTTAAATTTACATAATAAAAATATTAATAAATTTTTTATTCTTAAAAAAAAAAAATCGAATTACCTCTACTCAAATTTTCTCCTCTTTGTTTTGACCAATGCCTTCTTCTCGAAGAAAAACTCCTCCCCTCGCCTCTTTATATTTAGGCTCTCCTTCCATGCCAGAGATCAAAGCTAGCAAGCTTCACCACTAATTGAAACAAACTATTCTAGCTAGCTAGCTGAAGTTGTTCAAATGAGCATGGTTTCTTTAATGAAACTCTTGTCTCTCTTTCTCCTCGTCGTACTGCTGACGCCGCCGCCGGCCGTCCAGGGCCAGCTTAAAATTGGCTTCTACAACAAGACATGCTCTACGGCGGAGAGTCTGGTTCAGCAGACAGTGGCCTCCGCCTTTGCCAACAACTCCGGCGTCGCCGCCGGCCTCATTCGATTGTTCTTCCATGATTGCTTCGTCAGGGTCTCTCTCTCTCTGAACCTCCTTAGATAGAAGTATAAAGACTTTAAATTTAAAATTTTTGCTAAAACTTCTTTCAGAACTCGTCTTTGGTGAATGGCAGGATTATTAATCCCATCATTTGATGAGTTATTATTTTTTTAATCCCAAAATAAATTGCCAAATAATTTATCATAATTTAACAAAATACAATAAATATCATTCCAAATGATTTTCAAGTTAAATTCTCTCAAATTTTAATAATTTGAATTTGCAAGATTTATTAAGTGAACATTTAAGATGGCCAAAATTATTTAAAATTTTCGTTATGAAATAGTAATTAGAAAGATAGACTTCTTAAAGATTATTTTAAATATATTTGAAAAAATATTTCGAGCAACTATCATGTTAATAAGAGTTCATTGGGAACTACGGCTCATTTATAAAGATAATTCTCATGTATATTATACTAATTCAGAAAAGAAATAATAATAATTTTTTTATATATATAAATTTGGAAACTCTTGGTTGATAGCTAAAACTCCTAAATCACATATTAAAATGAGCTATGCAAAGAACAACAGAATTCATAAACTCATTTGAATAGTAGATCTAATTTTAAAAATATATTTCTTGTCATAAAATATATTTTTTAAAATAATAAAACAATTATAGCCAAATATCTCTGTTGTAACAATTTGAAAAATAAAATAATGCAAAAGTTATACCAAACAAATCATGGATGTGAATGAGAAAAAATATTTTCTTTTCATCAAATTTCTACAAAATTAAAAATATATAATCAAATAAATATATGACAACAATCTATTATAAAAATTAAAAAATATATATCATACAAACTCTAAATAAATGTCTAAAACGTAGTTATATATACTTTTTTTTCCTCCAAACCACGAGCTTCTTTATCCTCATTAAAAAAAAACTCAAATAAAATATTACAAAATAATAAACTCTACTAATAAAATATTAAAAAGCTGTGCCAAACACACCCACAACCCTACTTTGCTTAGATTAAATAAGAAAATTTCCCAGCAAAATACAACATAATAATGAAAACCCAATCATTTCAACATGCAGGGTTGCGATGGCTCAGTGCTAATAGATTCAACGGCCAACAATACGGCAGAAAAAGACGCTCCCCCAAACAACCCAAGCTTACACGGCTTCGAGGTGATCGACGCCGCTAAATCCGCCGTGGAAGCCAAATGCCCCAACACAGTCTCCTGTGCCGACATCATCGCCTTTGCCGCCCGCGACTCATCCGCCCTAACCGGCAACATTTCCTACCAAATTCCCTCCGGTCGCCGCGACGGCAACATCTCCTTATCCTCTGAAGCCAGCGCTAATCTCCCCTCCCCTCTCTCCAACGCCTCCACTCTCATCAAGGCTTTTGCGGCAAAAAACCTTACCGTGGATGAGCTCGTCACATTGTCCGGGGCCCACTCCATAGGGGTTTCCCACTGCTCTTCCTTCAGAAACAGGATCTATAATTTCAGCTCGACTAGTCAGGTGGACCCCACGCTGAGCGCCGCATATGCGACACTATTACGGTTGGCTTGCCCATTCAATACTTCCCAGTCGGGAAATACAACGGTGGCGTTGGATCTTATTACGCCGTCGGCGCTCGACAACGCATATTATAAGGGGGTTCAGTTGACACTGGGGTTGTTCACGTCGGACCAGGCGTTGTTGACGCAGGCAAATTTGAGCACTGCCGTGAATGATAACGCAAACAATGCCAGTGGGTGGGCTACCAAGTTTGGGAGAGCGATGGTGCAGATGGGAACAACTGAGGTGAAGACGGGAACGCAGGGGGAGATTCGGAAGAATTGTCGTGTTGTGAATAGTGCAAATCTCGGGAGTATTATAGGAGTGGATGTTAAGGAAGAGGAGGAGGATGAGTCTTTGATGGCTTCTATGTGAGTGAGAGGTGCATGTGTATGACTAACGGCCTATGCTTTGCTTTATAAAATAAGATTGGAGGATGTCATTTACTTTGTCTTAGGACTAGCAATAATATATAGCTATCGATGTACGTACGCTGTTTTTTGACAAAAATAATTGGTCATCCTTCTTTGTTGTTGTCGCATGGGTACGTATACAATTTCCTCATGAGTGATGTTATAACTTAATATTTTTATTAATAAGTTGGTAAGTTGGGTGCATCAATATAAAGTTTTCTATTTTGTCTCTCTTCAATTATGTCTATTATTGACATCAATCGTAATTTTTTTAAAAAATAAACGATGGCAGTATAAGAATTTTAATTTAAACTATTAGTGTTTTTGTTGTTATTTTAATTATAATATAAAGTTTAATTATTGATTATTTGTTGTTGTTTAGAAATAATCAAATAGTTGATGTCTCAATTATGCTTTTCAATTTGATCTGTTGGTTGAGAATTTTGACTACTAATCAAGAATTATTAGTTCAAAACTTCGAATGTAATGATGTGAGCTTATCTTATTGGCTCAAAAGTCCAAAAATAAATAAATAAATAAATATTGTCCCAATTTTTTGGACAAATAAAAATTTCATCATTAAAGGAAGGAAATTCCATAGTATTTCTATTTGCTTCTTGCACAGATTAAAGGAAGGAACATTTAAATGGTCTAAAGAGTATATAAATTCAATTATATTTTATAATCTGATTATATTTTTAAATCATTAATTTTTATTAAATATAAATTAGTTGGATTTGATAAAAACTAAGGCTTCATTTGGGGTGGCTATCTTAATGCTTTCTAATGTAACTTTTTGACAAAAAAAAAAATTAGTTCAAAAATTATTTATACTAAAAAATTGCGTAGCCTAAATAACAAGCCATAAAACGAATAAACAAGCTTGCTCAGCCACATTCAAATTTAGCTCAAAAAAGTAAATATAGCATTTTTCTTTCTTGATTTTTGTTCTTAATACTTTTTGGTATTCTTTTAATGCTAAAATAAAACATGCATTCTTTATATTAAGTTATTATGATTTAAAAATTTTAACATTTATTTTGCAATGAATTCAATATAATAATTAGTTAATTATTTCTATATTATAGTAATCCTATAATTTATTGAAAAAAATATAAAATTCAGGCTCCCTAATCATATTTTGATCAGAATTTTTTTCCTTTAGTTGATACTTGATAGTGAATAAAATTACGCACTTTATGATCATAAAAATTATAATCATCAATTTCACACTTTACCAAGAAGTTCAACCTCCTATATTTTATGTCGGCCAAATTAATTATTAAGATCATGATCATGGGCGGATCCAACTTCTTTTTGTAGGGTGGGCAAAAAAAAATTTTTTTATAGGGGATGGGCAAAAATGATTAGGATTGATAAAATTATGACAAAAAATTTTTTTGAGAGGGGGCAAAATGCCCAAAATACCCAAAATATTATAAAAAAATACCCTCTAAAATTAAAAAAAAAAAAAAGAAATTTGAGGGTGGGCATTTGCCCCCCCTCACTTATATGGGGATCCGCCCATGGCCGGACCACTGCCGGAGGTCGTCACATTCGCAAGACCTCCACCTGAGGCTCTAGCCTTCACGAGATCATCACCTAAGGCCCGAAGTTCTGCCAGACCACCATCTAAGGCCCGAAATTCTGCCAGACCATCGCCTGACACCCGGACTTCTATCGTACAATTGTTATTTATAATCTGATCGCTCTCGGAGGCGAGTCAGCCCATTGTAACCGACTCAAATTCTAGTTGAATCATTTTCAACTGGGCTAGGCCCCATGGGTTTTCCCCTTTCAAGGGTTTTCCACGTAAAAAATCTTTAGTTTTCTATGTGTGAGCTGGATATCCGTGCAACGCTAAGACATAAAATTACAAATCTATCGTTGCGTATATTCTAGCTTGCAACATACATAAAAGAGAATATTGTTAATTTATCAATTTATTTTATGGTTTATTAATAATCTTCTATTATTATTATCTTATAAATTTGATCTATCTTAAAATATTCTACAACTTAAAGAACATATATTTTTTATTGAAAAATATGAATTTTTTAAGAAATATATCTATGGAAGGAAATTTTAGAAAAATGAAAAAAAGTGTTACTCATTCTATAATAATAGAACTTATATAAGGATAAAAAAGAGAAAAAATAAAAAGGATGAAAAGAAAATAACATTCACAACATTATTTTTTCAATATTATGTAATGTTATTATGAGAATAAATAGGGGTACACAGTGATACACAACAGTGCACAGTAGTACACATCACAATACAAAGTAGTATACAATAGTACACATCATCAAAATGAATAAAATTTAACATATCAAAAGTATTTCGAACAAACTTATTTAAATGAGCATGTACAATAATTAACATATCAAACACACAAACAATATATGGATTTTGACAAAAACGAACCAAAAGTATTAGCTTAGAATATCTAAATTCAAGAGCTTGCACAAAAAGTGTAGATTTTTTTTTTTTTTTTTGCAAAACTACAGAATAATTATACCACCAAATCCAAGCTACAGAGGAAAAATTAGAACACTGAGCAAGTGGCTTGAGGAGGAAAAATTATTACGTCCTCCCAAAGCTAAAATCACGCTAAAAAACGAGAAATGCCAAGCAAATACCGAGCAATACCAAACAATAACGAGGAATATCATCATGTGAAGACCAATACCGAGCTATACCGAGCTATACCGAGCAATACAAAAAAATATCTAGTTTTTCCTAGAGAAAACTCGGTATGTGATCGGTATTGCTCGGTATTGCTCGGTATAGCTCGGTATAACTCGGTATTGGTCTTTACATGATGATATTCCTCGTTATTACCAAATAATATCTAGCAATACCGAGCAAAAACCGGATTTTTTTTTGAGCCAATCGAGCCGCCATTCCGATGAAGCGAGGGGTTTGAGCGGGGAGGTCATGCTTGAGGTGGAACATCAATTACAGTGATTTTTAGTTTGCCATGAATTTAAAATTTCACTACAGGATTAAATTTTTCATCTCGGGTCGGGTTGGATCAGGTCGTCGGTCTCCAGGTGTCAGCATTTTATTGGAGTCTAGACGCAGAGCTACGTCCGGACATCGCACAGAATAAATTCTCCTTAATTGCACCGCATGTGATTAAAATTTTAATAATAAATAGTTTGTTGTTTTCTTTTTTAATGAATGGATTAATATTTTATATTTGTTATTAGAAGTACTTCTGTTGGGGATAATATTAAGGGGGATTTACATACATACCACTTTATTTCATGTTATTTATATATCTAATACTCAAAAGTTTAATATTATATACATACCACTCATATTAAATTTTAATGTCAAATATATCACTAATGTATTTCATTCTTACTACTCATATCATCCTATAAATTTTAATATTTCATTACATGCACCCATATTTGTTTTATGCGTGGTAGGCATATAATAATAAAATTTTAGTTGTTAGATATGCAAATAGCATAAAATAAAGTGGTATGTATGTAAATCCTCCTAATATTAATTAATGATAAAATTAAAAAAATATTTTTTAAACCATATGCCAATGTGCCTGAATTTAATTATAGAACATTTCTTTTATGCAAATTTGTATCATTTTATAAAGAATGAACATAAAAAATACCAATGTTTATCCTTTAAAAAATATTTTCATATTTTAATATTAGAACAATCAATTATTTGCATATACATAGAAGAGAATATTGCTAATTAATTTATCAATTTATTTCATGTTTTATTAATAATCTTATATTATTATTATTATTATCTTATAAAGTAGATTTATCTTAAAACATTCTACAACTTAAAGAACAGATATCTTACATGAAGGAGTATTATATAATTTATAAAAAATAAAATGAAACTTAAAAAATGAAAAATATTGTCATAAAAATATTTTTGAAATAATAATAAAAAAAATTTAAAAGAAATATTTTAGAATTATATGAAATGATGTCATTAAAGTTGAAGAACTCACATGTAAATAAGAGTTTTAACTTTATCATTTGTGACTCATCATAAGAAGAGGTCATCATTTGTGATAAAGAATAATATATTTGTATAAAGTGTAACATAAAAGAACTTTTTATTAATTTTATCATAACTCCCTCTAGAAATACTCATCAATTCATCATCAAACCTCCTTACTATTTGAAATGTTCTCATTAACATCAAAATATTAATCATTTCCAAATTATTCAACAAATCTTCTAAGGAAAAAAATATGAAATCTTCTATGTAATTAAAAAAAATGTGGTAAACAAAGTGTGTTTAGAAGCATGCGTATATGCTATACCATTGCATTGAAAAGCATATAAGTACATCATGTAGTTGCAACAAAAATTGCTCAAGCATTTATAGTGTGAATGCAATAAAAAATATACAAGTACTTTATGTAAATGCATCAAAAAGCCCATATGCCACTTAAAAGGAAATTTAAATTTCCTTTTTCTTTTTTCAAATTGAAACCAATTTCTCATATGTGAATGCATCAAATTTCTAAATCTAAGGTCTAAAAATGCTAAACGGGACTGATATATCCTCAAAAAATTAACTTGATCAAGCATGAATATCGAGGCAAAATCAAGTTGAAAACTTCAAAAATTAAATCTGGGACCATCCAAACTCCGATTTCAGCAAACTTACAATTAAAGTGAACGTCTCAAAAATACGAAGCCAACGACACTAAATTCGAGTCAATCTGAGTCCAAATTAAATGGGTCCAAATCAAGAACCTGAAGTGTTGTTGGAAGGTTCAAACCACAATTTGGATTGCCAAATAGTTTTCAAACATAACATGCTTATAATCGAATCGAGCAGCTCGATGAGACGAATCCAACGAGCCCAAGATCATTGAATTCTAATATCAGTAAGACATTCAAATGCCCAGTAAAAATCCACGATCAAGGGATTCTACATCAGCCACCCATCCAAACCACTCCCAATTTACCATTGATCTTCCTCCTATTTACAAGTCATGTCGCTCTATAAAATCTATAAATAGACCCCTACCTTCTCATGAAGGGGGGATCCCAAGTGAAAGGAAGGGAAGTAAGAGAGAGATCAGAGATCACTCTTGCCTCCTCGCTCATCCTCGACCACCGCCCGGAGTTCCGCCGGACCGCCACCTAACGCTGGATTTCTATCGGACCACCGCCTGGCACCAGAGTTTTGTCGGACCTCCGCCTA